TTTGGGATTTTGTTTGTTTTCTTGCTTGTTTCCCTTTGTTTGTTATTGTCGTCCAGTGTATAGGTCAAAACAGTAACTCCAGGTGTTAAATGAACTGCTTCCAGAATCCAAAGAAGTCTACCAGGCACTGAAATTTTTTTATGAAGAGGGTAACATTTTCCAGTTTATCTTTTATTCTTCTTTTTTCTTCCCCCGATGGTGCTATAGATCACACCCATGGCCTCACATTTGTTAAATTTGCACATTCTAACATTGAGTCCTGTACTTTACTTTGAATGGAGTCTCAGGCATTCTTCAGACCACTCAACCCTTAAAACTTACACTTTTTATGGTAAGCACCAGGAACTTTGTAAGGTTTATCTCCCTTCCTCTGTAGTGCATGTGCCGTGCTAATGCCCCAATGTACTTCTTCTGAGAGATGTTTGTATGATCCAGACATCTTAAGACTATATTATGACAGAAGATATGAGAATTAATAGATCCTTGAAGAGAAACTAATTTCATACTGCTGTCTATTCTATGTTAATTAGAACATTTTTTATCTTGATAAAAATGTTCCATCCTGATAAAGAGAATAAAGTGAACACTTTTCACAATGGCTGAGTACTAGGACTTTAAGCCGTGTTAATTTGTTCTAACAAAAAATACTGCATCTGGTATGGTTGCTGAAATTTTCCTACTAATTAGTTGAGTTTGAAAAAGCCTACTATCATCCACCAGGCTCTACCCACATTTTTCAGAGAGAAAGTCTGATTAATTAAATGAAAATATAATTGGGACCACACCCTCATATTCTTTAGATGTTTAAAAGGTGACACTAATTTCTATCTTCCTCCCTCTCAAGGATGTTTTAAAGTTCTCTGTTGACCATGGATGGGGATTACAGTTTCAGAAGCATTCACTTGGCATTCTTATCTATAAATAGCTCTGACTCAACAAGCCAATAAACTACAATGGGCTTTGCACCGAGCATCAACTATATCTATTTCAAGTATACATTGGGAGATCAAGAAAATAACAAGAATGGGTCTGTGAAATCAGTGGACCCATTGCAAACCAAACCTAGACTGGGATCTAATTTAATACCTGGCTCTTGTATCACCAAAACAAATCTGGGAGCTCTGATGACAGTTTGGGTATCTGGGTATAAATATCAACACATAACCAGAGTACACCTGGCCTCAAAATGTTCAGTCATTCCTGTCCCATTGAGGTGCAGTTTCCTGAGTCAATGAAAGAACCAGAGAAACATGTATTATTAGGTTCTTTACTTGGGTACTCAGCCTCTCCTCTCCTTCAAATAACATGTTTTAGATTTTTAAAAAACTAGTTTAGAACCAGAAGCTGGGTGAGAGATTGTGATTTTTTTGAAGCAACTTCCCTGTCATCCCAACCATCTTTAATTTCTTTTGATTGTGTAAGTTGTTAGCTACCTACCTACTTTACTGAGGACACTGTTATATTGAAGATCTGTATCCTATTTATCTTTCTACACACTTGAAGCATCATATCCTATTCACCATCTCTGGAGGTGTCTACAGTTTACACCTTCCTACTTATCACTATGACCCCTAGAGTGCATTACACTATCACTGTCCAGCTGCCTTCTGAGAGTTAAATGCAATCACCCTGCCTCTACTGTTTCAGAGTCATTGGTATTTCTATCATTAATCCTCTTTCCATAATATCCACTGTTACTCTGAGCCTTAGCTTGCAAAGGAGCATCACTACTGAACTTCTTAAGAGATATTAGTGCTCCTCTCATCACTATGTTCCTTATAGTTCTGGTAGTGTGCCCTTTGGGTACTTCTGCAGGATGTAGTCCTCTAGAGGACTTTTTAGCCTTAACTAATAAAATTATTCTATCATTCTCACTTGTCTGAGTCTTTAAGTTCTTCTTTCACCATTTGCTATGACAAGTCTGTCAGTTTATACCTCACTTAATGCAGGCTATTCTTTTTTCCATACTTTGAGGGGTCATCTTACTAGTGAGTTTGCATCATCTCCTGAAAGCCGCTGAGAGAGCATGCTCAAATTGATTCATTCTTTTGCACTCAATTTTATTATATTCCAACTCCCTGATCAAGCAAATCAGAACTCAGAATGCAGTCCAATGCTTGCTCCTTCAACAACTTCTAGTACCTGCTAGCTACATTAGGTTGTTTAGCTCCTTGGTACATTCCTTTTCCTTCTTTATCACATTCAGCACACTCTCAGCAAGGTTATGCTGTGGATTACGACTAGTTACAGGCTTAGTGGCCAGGACTGGACATGGGGGCAGATTCCAAGGGAAATGCATGTTATCTTCAGAGGGGAAGGGTTGTGAATTTTCAAGAAAAGTAAAGTGCTACCTCTTAATAGGGAGAAATTGAACATTTCTCAAAGATTTCATGGACTCTAGAGGTAGAAGATTATTAGAAACTTTCAAAAGTGTCAGAGTCTCATTCATAAAAGACTTGAATCGGTTGGACTTTTAACTATCTTTGAAACTAGCTTTCAACAGAGTCCTGGATCTCATCCTCAGGTTTCCCTAACTGTACCTGGAAAAGATGAAAGTTTCTTTGTACACTATGAATAAATCTTACTTTCATAGTTTTTAATTGTTGGTTAGTTTAATTAGATTTTTCATTACTTTTTTTAACAGTCAAACAAGGTAAACAATAATCACACAATTCCTTGGCCTTCGTTTATTTAATATTTCCCTCATGTTTCTCAAGATTGTGATACGTGGTACTAGTCACCACATTCCTTACTATCAGTGTGCCATCTCAGTAAACCATCAGAGGACACTCTAATAATTCTGCCTCCTTATTCCAAAAGCCTGTCTACATTACCCACCACCAGTGATGGAGTCTTCATTGCCAACTGGCCGGCAGGTGATCCATCTCAAAATTTCATCATAATGTTTGTTTTCCTGTACCAACTCTTGTCGATTGGCTTCCCATGGAACAGACTCAGAGACAGAGTTCAGTATGAAGAACTTTTATTAGAGAATACACTTGGGATCAACACCTGTGGAATGGAAGAAAATGAAGCAGGATTGGCAGAGGGACAGACTAAGCTATCTTAATTTGGAGCAAGAAGGCCATATCCGTAAGTCATAGGACACAAAATACAAGCAGGAAGGAGTGCAACTTTGAAGGAGGCATCTGTCTCCTGAGGCACTTCCTAAAGAAGGCTCACAGATGAAGCCTATCTACTGGCAGCACTCCTAGCAACTGAATAATATATTATTTATTCCTGAAAGAATACCAGAAGTGCACATGGCAGAAACTACTACAATGCAGTATCTTTTCTTTACAGTAGAAAGCTATCATCAAATGCTAGAATTGAGGTTTTATTTTTATACTAACTATAGTATTTAAATCCTTAAACATTTATAGCTTTATTTCAAATTTGAAGTGAAATCTTCCAAATATTGGAGCTTAAGTATGTGAGTCTCCACTTAGCCTTTTGGTGTAGGCCCCTCCAGTACTATTCACAGGACTGCTTATCAAATAATGCAAGAATTCCCTATTCCGAAAATGTCAAAAAGAAACATGAGTTTTGAAATTCCCCATCAGTCTGAAAGCTATACAAACTATTTAGGTTTGCAGAGTATGAACCTGTTATACAGATTATTTAAATAAATACGTTTTTGTCTTTTTGAGACAGGGTCTTGCTCTGCAGTTCAGACTGGCCTTGAGCTCACTATCTCGAACTCCCAACAATCCTCCTGCCTCAGCCTCCTGAGTGTTGGGATTACAGGCATGAGCCACCACACCCGGTGTAAATACATACTTTTTCATAAAACATATTTTATATACTTTAGTAGCCTAGTTTTCCAACTTAAAATTATATCCTGAATTTTTCCACATAAATTAACATAGATGTCCATCAACATTTTCAATGATACTTAGGTCCTCTATCCTTTTTCACCTTTCATAATAATTGAAAGATGCACAGCTTTTTACAAGCCAATTATTTATATACTTTCTAAAAATAAATCTCTACAAATTAAATTATCAGGTCAAAGGTCATGCACACGTTAAAGGGTTTCAAAACCTCTATCTGAATAGACCTCACACCTTGTATGATCCTCACCTCACAGTTTGAGAGTTCTCCTCCTCCCATATCCTCACCAACCCCACAGGATGGGAGACAAGTGGGTCTTCTCTTCTGTGGATCCCAACAGCACTCTATAGTTCCATAAATAGTCCCTCCTGCCAACCTGTGTGCTTTCTTCCACTATAGTTTCTTATTTCAAAACATAACTCTTACTTACTACATAGGCACTAGAGCTAACCAAGAAAGAGAATGTGTTCCTATCATGTGCCCTCAGGACCCTAAGATAAAAATAACCCTTTCTTTATGTTCTTGTAATAAGTTGTAGTGGAATAGATCTCTTGCTTCCTTCCTGTCCCTACCATTCCCAGCCACCAGCAAAATTCCAATGCCTTGCCTCATCTCCTGCCAAGTCTATATTAGTTAACTCTCTAACTGGATTTTCAATCTGCAGTCCCCATTCCTGTCCCCACTCCAACTCAGACCCATCCTGCGCAAAAAAGCAACCATATTGTTTTTCTTTCATCCTGTCATTCCTCTGGTCGTGAAAGGCCTTGTCATCTCCCAGAGGCAAATGAAGGTAATATTCAAACACCCCAGTTCAGCAACTGGAAGTGCTCCAAAAAAGGGAGAACAGGACTCCCCTTAAACACTGACTCCACCCACATCCCCCTGCTCTCCTCTCCAGGCTCTCTACTCCAGGCAGACCAGACTTCTCTCTGCAGCAAAACTCCTACTTCTGTGCCTTTCTCACATCATTGTTCCTCTTTGAATGCTCTTCTGAGCTCCTCTGTGTAACTTTCCCTGAGCACCTTTATGTGCAGTGGTTTCTGGTGCCTTGAAGCACCTTTGGGAACCATCTGGGGACGACTGGAGGCCCCTGACTTTGTACTTTTTGTGTCCATGTAGCCTGACTTTTCAAACTGATTGCAAAACTCAAGGACAAGGACAATGTATTTTTGTTTCAGCTTAAAACACACAACTTTATTGATGACATAAATATAAAATCTAAAATGTATAAACATAAGTCCACACAAAGGACCAAAGATTACCTTGCTTATGAAGAATCAGGTCAGTTTTGCTCATGAAGCATACTAAAAATATCTCAATCCAGACAAGATAAATATTGACATGTATATTTAGTACAAGTTTGAATTCATCTGCTGTTCATAAAATGGTTCATTTATGGACCATCATACATTAACATCAGTTTTGATGTTATAATGCAGTTTACAATGTGTACCACTTGCAGGCTGCAAAACCAAAATATTATTCACATTTATTAAGGAACATAAAATTAATCAGAGTTTATTTATTAATATCTCAACCCTTTCTTTCACTTCTGGGTCACTGCATTCTGCTGCTAAGGCTCGAAGTTTCTTAGCACAGGCTTTAGGTCTTTGAAATAGGAAATAAAGGGAATTTTTACTGAATTTGTCCTGGGTAAATGCTTTTGCTCTTCTTTTAAAATGGTAATTTATATTCTCAAATAATGAGAGCGCATTAAGAATATTTTCTTTTGTCTCTTTCTTGCTAAAAATGTTAATCAGAGATGTTGGTGCATTGGCAATGAGCAAATCTTTTGTCATAGATGGATTTTTAGAGAAATTCACAAGCATGCCCAAAACATGGTCTTTAGTTTCTCCACTTCCCACTGTTAACAAACGAAGAAATTCTGAAATGTAATTTGTAACCATATGTTGATATTCACTAGTTATAGTCAGGTGTCTTATCAATCTTAGTCCAGCCAGTTGCACATTTGAGTTCAAAGGATAGGTGACAGTATCTTCACATACTTGGTTTAAGTATGTCTTAACCTTTCTATGGTTTTCAGCAGCCACTGAGATGTTATTCAGGGCATTTAAAGCTTTCTGCCTAACACTTGGATAGGGATTATTCAGCAAACTTTCAATAACTGAGATTCCACCTACATTACGGACAACTTCATGGGAATAAGGATAATCAATACTGTTGTATAGAGCATTATTCGCTATTTCATGAACAGAAGGATCTTCTGTCATTTCAATCATGCAAATGAGTTTTTCAAGATCTCTTGGATCCATATTAGCTTCATGTTTACAACGACAGGACCAGGGCCGAACTTCCTCCCCAGCCCTGTTCTGCTGTCTGAACTCATCTTCAGTAGGGAAACTGGCCTCATTTTGGTGCGTAAACTTCGTTTCCGACCAGATCATGGCTCCATCCCATGAGCCCATTCCTGCTCCAGGGACCATGGATGGATATGTACCACTTGACTGTGCTGACTTCCGAGCTTTAGGCTTAGGTGTAGATTTGTCCTCACTTCTGCTTTCTTTCCCAGTACAGAACCAAGACCTTATATCAATTCCATCAACAGCCTCGAACTTATCCTTGATGCTTGCCTTATCTCCAACAACATGCTCAAAATTAATGTCTTTTCCACTCTTGGATCTGAACTCGTTACTGTTTTCACTCTCAGCCCAAAACAAGGACCTTAAACTGATCTCCTCAATATCAGGGCTAGATGCTTCACTTAGCTCTTCCTCATCTACATCCCTAGCAAAAGCCCACGACCGTACGGCCCCAAGCCCAGACTCCTTAGAGGTCACTTCTCCATCCCAGGACCAAGACCCCATGATGGCATCAGTCTCAGGCTCAGCTCCAGCCTCAGCCTCAGCTCCAGCCCCAGCCTCAGCTCCAGCCCCAGCCCCAGCCTCAGCTCCAGCCCCAGCCCCAGCCTCAGCTCCAGCCCCAGCCTCAGCTCCAGCCCCAGCCTCAGCTCCAGCCCCAGCCCCAGCCCCAGCCTCAGCTCCAGCCCCAGCCTCAGCTCCGGACTCAACCTCAGCTCCAGCCTCAGTCTCAGTCTCAGCTCCAGCCTTAGCCCCAGTCCCAGCTCCAACCACAGCATCAGCCTCAGTCCCAGCTCTAGCCTCACCTCTAGCCTCAGCCTCAGCCTCAGCTCCAGCTTCACCCTCAATTGCAGCTCCAGTCTCAGTTCCAGACTCAGCCTTCACGCAGGAACCCACACAAGCTACTTCCTCAGATCTGATCCAGGACGCAACACTAGCCTTGTTCTCATCTCTCAGCTCAGAGCTAGTGATGGTCTCTTCCTTAGGCTCTGATGTGGATTCAATATTGGCCTCGTCCTTGCCATCAGGCTTGGACACAATACCAACCTCTTCCCCTGTCCAGCACCAAGACCCTATAAAGGCCTCACTACCAGGCGCAAACCAAAATCCTTCATTGGCTTCCACCTCAGCACTGACCAGGAAATTTCCACTGGCCTGTTCCTCAGAACCCAACCTAGACCCTCCACCAGCCTCATTCCCAGGCCTAGACACAGCCCAGGATATTCCACTGGTCTGGTCCCCAGCACCAGACCAGGCACTTCTTCCATGGGCTTGATCCTCTAATCCAGATTTGGAGCAACCAACAGCCTGATCCCCAGGCCCAACCCAAGACCCTCCACTGACCTGACTCCCAGTGCCAGCCCAAGATGTAGCACTGGACTGGCCTGTGGGATCCGTTCTAGATGCTCCAATAATATGGACACCAGTTCCAGCCCAGGAACCTCCTCCACTGGACTGATTCTCAGACCCTGGTCTGGACCCACCACTAGCTTGGTTCCCAACACCAGTCCAGAACCCTGTTCCAATGGCCTGATTCCCAAATCCAGGCTTGGAACAGCCACCAGCCTGATCGCCAGCTACAGCCCAGGATACTCCACTGATCTGACTCCCAGTGCCAGCCCAGGACCCACCACTAGCCTGATTCATGGGCCCTGGCCTAGAAACTCCAACATTCTGACCACCAGCCACACTCCAAGACCCTCCCACACTGGTCTGACTGCCAGTATAAGCACAGAACCATCCACTGGCCTGGTCTGCTCTGGCAGGCCAGGAATCTCCACTGGACTGCTCCCTGGAGCCTAGACTAGTTCCAGACTGGTTCTCAGCAGCATTAGTCCAGCATCCTCTTCCACTAGTCTGATCCTCGAACATAGGTTTTGCCCCACCACCAGCAAGGTCCCCAGGACTAGCCTGAGATTTTCCATTGGCCTGGTCCACAACCCTAACCAAACACCTTCCACTGATTTGATCTCCAGACTCTGCCCATGATCTTCCACCGGACTGATTCTCAGGCCCTGACTTGGATACTCCACCAGCTTGGCCAAAAGCTCCAGCCCAAGAGCCTTCATCACTGGCCTGAGTTTTAAAACTAGCCTTGGATGCACCATCAGAATGATCACCAGTTCCAGGCCAGGATCCTCCTGTGGCCAAGTTCCTAGTGCCAGCCCAGGATACACCACTGGACTGGTCTTCAGATCCTGGTGTAGACCCACCACTAGCCTGTTCTACAGAGCCAGCCCAAGATGCACCACTAGACTGGTCTAAAGGCTCAAGCTTTGACCCTCTATTGGCTTGGTCTGCAGTGTCAGCCCAAGGCCTTCCACTCGACTGATTCTCAGGTGCTCTACTGGCCTGACCACAAGCCCCAACCCAGGACCTTTTCTCACTGGCCTGATCCTCAAATCCAGGTTTGGACTCGCTGCCAGATTGATCACCAGTCACAATCCAGGATCCTGCATTAGCTTGGTCCACAGCCCCAGTCCAGTACCCAATACTAACTATATTTCCAGCCCCAGCCCAAGACACCCCACTAGCCTGGTTTTCAGCCACAGTCCAGGAACCTCCACTAGCCTGGTCCACAACCCAGGATAGTCCAGTGGCCTGGACTCCAGGCCAAGATACTTCACTAACCTGACCCACAGCCCAAGGCCCTCCAAAGGCCTGGTTCCCAGAGACAACCCAAGAGGCCCCACTGACCTGGTTCTCAGTCCCAGTCCAGGATCCTCCAATGGCTTTGTTCTCAGCCTGTACCCAGGAACCCCCAACCTTGTCCCCAGCCCACGATGCCTCACTAACCTGACTTGCAGCCCAGAGCCCTCCACTGGCCTGGTCACCAGCTCCCACCCAGGACCCAAGAGCAACCTCATTCTCAGCCCTAGCCCCAGTCCAGGACTTAATAGTGGTCTCATCACAAGTCACAGCCCAAGAACTAACAATACCACTCTTGTCACCAGTCCCACTCCAAGACCCAATACTAGTTGTATTTTCATCATCGGGCCAAGACACACTATTCTCCCAGTCTCCATCCATGGCCTGAAACCTAAATTTGATCCACCGCTCAGCAGCAATCCAATCCTCAACACCAATCCCATTCCAATAATAATCATGAATGTTAGGCTGAGTTTTTCTACAGGCTTGAGCATCTGGCCCTCCCTCAATCTCTGAAGCAGGTATAGCCTCAGCCTCACATTCAGCCTCAGGCTTTGGACAAACCTTATCTTCTGCTGTAGCTTCTGACTCAGATCTGGACATAGTCTTGTCCATTACCCCAAGCAAGGCCTCATTCTGGGAACTGACCGGCCCCTGGGGTTGAGCAGAGACTTTTGTACCTTTCTGGGGCCCTGTTCTAGGCACAGCACTAGAACTGCCTCTGATCTTATTCCTGGCACCAAGTAAGGCCTCATTCTGAGAACTTGTCAGAGCCTGGGGCTGAGAAGAGTTCACTATACCTGCTTCAGCCTCTGCCTTAATCACAACATTGGGACTTCCCCTGACCTTATTCCTGGCACCAAGCAAGGTCTCACCAACAACAGTCTGAGACTGGGAAGAGCCCACTGTACCTGCTCCAACCTCTGCCTTAGGCACATTACAATTAATCCTGACTTTACTCCTGGCACCAAGCAAGATCTCATCCTGGGAATTGGCCACAGTCTGAGACTGGAAAGAGTCTGTCGTACCTGTCCCAACCTCTGGCTTGGACATAGCACTGGAGTTGCCCTTGACCTTAGTCCTAGCACCAGACAAGGCCTCACCCTGAGAACTGGTTACAGTCTGGGATTGGGAAGAGCCTATTGTAGCTGCCCCAGTCTCTGCTTTAGGCACAACATTGCGACTGCCCCTGGACTTATTTTTGGCTGCAGTCAAGGTCTCACTCTGGGAACTGACAGCAGCTTGGGGCTGGGTACAGTCTGCTGTAGCTGTCCCAGACTCTGCCTTAGGCACAACATTGGGATGGCTCTTGAACTTACTCCTGGTACCAGGCAAAATATCACCCTGGGAATTGACCACAGCCTGGTGCTGACCACAAGTCCTATTAGACCCTGCTTTAGAAATGGCATTAGAATCAACCCTACCATCAATCCTGGAATCAGGCAAGGCCTCGGCTTGGGTCTTGGTCCCAGCTTGTGAACAGGTTTTCATGTCTGGCCCAGCTCCTGCCTTACACTTGGCTTTGGCTTTGCCCCTAGCTTTACCTTTAGTGTTAAGTAAGGCTTCGCTTTGGTTCTGGGCCGTAGTTTGGCCTCCTTCCTTAATCATGGTGTTAACAGTTCCTTTAGTCTTAATTCTACCATCAGGCAAGACATCACTCTGGACATTGCCCAGAGGCTGAGCCTGAGTCCAGGACAACATGTCTATCCCAGCTCCTGCCTTCACCATGACATTGGAAATGCTTCTGGTCTTATGGCTATTATCAGGCAAGGCTTCAGTTTGCAAATTGGTCTTCATGTTTGCCATGGGACCTGCTTTAACCGTGGCACTGGGATTGCCTCTACCCTTAACCCTGGTATCAGGCTGAGACTCAGACTGAGCACAATCTACAGTTTGAATCTGAGCAGCAGCCTGTATGAAAGCTCCAGTAACTGCCTTAGATACGACACTGGTATTTTCCCTACCATCAACCCTGGCACCCGGCATTGCCTCAGCCTGTTTCTTGGCCACAGTCTGAGGCTGTATTATACAAGTCCTCACATTTGTTCCCACCTCTGCCTTACATGTGGTGGTGATACTATCCACCATATCAACCCTTGTCCCAGGCATGACCTCAGCTTGGGTCTTCACGACAATTTGAGATTGAGGTGACGCTCTTGTATCAACCTTAGATCCTGCCTTAGGCACAGTTTTGAAATTTCCCTTGTCCTGAACCTCAGCACCAGGCATGTCATCATTTTGGATCTTGGCCACAGCCTGCGACTGTGCACAGGACATCACATCCATGCCAACCACTGCCCTGGACACACCATTAGCATCTTCCCTTGCATCAACTGTGGTACCAAGCCTACCATCAGATTGAGTTGTAACCACACTCACAGTCTCTTCCAGGGCTCTTGTCTTGCCTTCAACCACAATTCCAGTCTTGTTCATGGTCCCAATCTTGACCACTTCTTTGGTCACTGCCAAAACCTCACTCTGTGTTACCATTACTCTGTTAATCTCTGTCTCTTTTTCAGCCATTGTACAAGTTTCAGCTTTGGTCTGAGTCATTGCTTCTTTTCTGGCCTCTGTCCTGGAGACCAGTGCCCAAGCTTTAGCCTTGGTCTGGGTCACTGCCTCTTTCTTGACTATTTCCCCAGCCTCAGCATCAGTTTGAGTCATTGCCTCTTTCATGATCACTTCCCTGGTTTTGACATTGGCCTCCGTCAGAGTCACTGCATCTATCATGACCAGTGTTCTAGCCACTGATTTGACCTCAGATTGAATGTCTTTCTTTTCCCCAATCATTGCCTTGGACTGACAATTGGCTTTGGACCTCTCTATAGCAGTAACCTTGGTCTCTACTTCAGCCCCAGGCTCATTTCCTTCACTTTCTGTTCCAGTCTTGCCCTTGGGTCTAGTCTCAATCTCTACCCCAGCCATGGCTTCACTCATGGCCAAGGTCTGGTTCTGCACCCCAACCACAGTCTCCATCTTGACTCTGGACTCATTTCTGGCAAATCTCGTCACACTCTGAGCTCTTCCTTTGGTTAATCTGTAAAGGTAATAGCATGTGCCAGCCCAGATTGCCAGTCCTGCAGTAGCCCAGCACACTTCCTGAACACGGCCCATGTAATCACTCCTGGTGAAGGCAACTAAAGTACAGGGGGCTTGCTTCAGCTGGGGAAAGAGGGTGCTAGGCTTTGGTGTAGATCTATGAGGGTGCTGGTCTTCAGTCACTCAAAGGCCACTACAGCTGCCACTGGAAATGGATCTAGAATTGGAAGAAGGAAATGAACAAAAATTTCTCTTCTAAATCTGCTATATCATAGATAGATAAACAGAAATAGAAAAAAGTAGCAAAGGTGCATCATGGGAGAAGAGAGTGATTAGTGAGCTTTCTATCCCTTATTTCATCGTCTCCCTCACCTTCCCCAACGCCCCTAACTTTTCCCGTAACTTGGTGCACTTTTATACACCAAGTGAACAGTGATAAGGATGGTGGGAAAGCTGGCATTGATAAGAGAAACCAAGAAGACCTCAGATTTTGATTTTTGCTGGACCTTCTCTGATCACTATTACTTGTATTGGTTTCAACTCTCATACCAACCTGCAATGATTCAAAGAAGTTCTCTCCTTTTTCCTTCTCTTGCTGAGTGATAATATATACTTTAAAGTAGACATGTAAATTCATGAGATTTCTGAACCTAGAGACAGACAAAGGGACAGGTAAGAAGAGAGAAGAGATACATTATTAACAGTTTCTTTACTCCCTGTCCTCCCCCAGTACACCAGATACTGTCACACTCACTTCACTGTATCATAAATAAACTTGAAAGTCTGTAGTCAGTGGCAGAGATGATGGGAAAGGTGTCTGTAAAGGTTGAGGCTCAGTGTCCTCCAGACTGGTCACTGGCCCTTACTAGATACACACTGCTGTGCTCACTTCAGCAGCACACATACTAAAAAAATTGGATATACACTTATTACCTATCCTAGAGGTTTGCTCAAGAAGTCCTCACCATCTTACCAGTCTATACTGATCAGAGACACTTTTCTCATTTTTTTCTTTGCTTCCAGTGACCTCAAGTTCTGCTGCAGAATGGACAAGTAGACAAATTGGAAGTTAAGAAAACTGAGTCCTCAGTAGACTAGACAAGTACCCTAATCCCTGCCCTGATATCTGCCTTTCTAGGGTCCAGGTCCAGTGTACTATTGTGTCTCATCCTGTGATTTCCTCCTCAAATTTTCTGTAATATCCTACTCCTTCCTTCTCCTAATATTCCTACCATTTGCTGCCTGTAATCAATAGGGAATATGTCAGTATTGTTGAAACCTAGAAGACTGTTTAAGCAGCAGAAGTGCCCTCCACTGAGATCTTCTCAAGCCTCAAGCATGTGATTAGCCCACTCTCTCTTCTCATCCTCAGATATTGCCCACCTTCACAACTTCCATAGTTCCAGGCCAGTCTCCCCCTCTTCCAGTGGTAAACAGGTCTACTGAAACACCATGAAAAGATCTAGGAAAACACACAAAAAGAGGTGAGAATGAATGCTGAGTGGCTGTCATATCCTAATCTAATACATAGGTCCTTACACACGCCTTTATGGATTTGGAGACCCATCACTAGCAGGGCTTCTTTACGACCAAAATGGGCAGGGTAGAAAAAGAAGAAAAGAAAAATGAACAAGGAGGCCAATTATTTTAAAACCACCTGTGGAGTCCTAAGAATTTCCTCCACCCAAAAAGTCCACCATTTTCTTCACCAGGATGGTTAGGTAAGTGGGAGTTATCTCAAAAGCTGGAGGCAGCAGAAGAACTGGAAGCTTCTAGAACCTGTAACTGTAGAGTCATAGCCTACAGCCATCTGCTTATCCCTAGATCCATTTGTAGGAGTCTTTAGCAGAGAAGACACAGTACAGGAGAGGACTTTTGCTACTACAAAATCATTATCCTTCAGCTCAAAGGTAATCTCAAAAAAGGTAATATTTGATTGCAAAAATATAATTTGCATTTTGTCAATATTATCTGAAGTACAAATAGAATCATCAGATGAAAAGTTTTCTACAGATGATTTTCTTTCTTGATTTTCAAGATACAATTTAAGTTTAAAGTCTGAAGCTTGGTGAGGAAACATAGCTTCGGAGAAATTCCCTGGCTAGCCCCCTCCATAGCACAATCAGATATCACTGCCTGAATTCATATAGAACTTCAGCGATTCAGTGTCCATGCTCAACTAACCTTCATAGATCCTGTGCAGTTTTCTCTTCTCCTTCTGGCCTCATCTCGGTGCTACACCAAACTATTGTCCAAAAAAACAGGAGAGTAAAGATAAGTGCTTAGACCAACACCCAAGCCCCAGATTCCAAAATTCGCTTTAAGGGGTTCACAAACCCGATTGTCAAATGCCTCTCCCCTCCTTGTGAGACACCATCCCTACCAACCCTGCCGTCCAGTCACTATGGCCCACCATTTTTTCTGCAAACGCCACCGTGGCGCGTCCCTTCCTCTCAAAGGAGCAGGACGCTAGCCGACATGTGCAGTGATTAGAGTGAGAGGATGGACATCTCAATCTCTGTTTCCCTCTTAATATAGTTTCGCCACCAGCAGCCCTGTCAAAGCCCACGGTTCTACTGCACAGATTTAGCTGAGGGCTAGGGAATCAGAATGAGAGGCCAAGGCTCCTTGAACTTAAGCTAGCATAGACGCTCCCCCCACGCTCCGTCTTCATGCTACCTCAGGGTGGGCAAGCTGCTGCCGCCTGACCTCGTCGCGCAGGCCCTCGGGCCCTTACCTGCTCCGCTTTCCAGGCCCAATGCCAGCCCGCCGTGCGCAGGGCGGCAGGGAGCTGGTAGCTAGACTAAAGTGACGACTGCACCGAAGGCTGCGTCGCTCTGCAGCTCGGGGTCACGTGAGGCCCGCGCGTCATCGTTAGCCCTCCTCCCCACAGCCTCCCACCTACCCTCAGGCTGTCAACATGATGGCCCCCTCCGCCGTCCTCTCACACAAGACCTCCCTTTCACAGGTCCGTACGCGATACCCCAGTGCGCACCTCTCTGTCACTCATCCCAGTCTTCTCCAATCTGAGAGCCCACAAGTGGCATCACTGCCTTGCGGTTGGAGTTTACTGGTCTCTGGTTACCAGGGAGGCCCTGTTTCCCCCACCCACTCCCAGGCCTTGGCTGTAGTCTTCTCTGCATCTATGAGGAATCCTTTCTCTTAAACTTCAAAAGCAATGCTCCCTACTCACACCAAACAACCTGCCCTCCCTTAGTATGGAACCAACACCCAATTGACTGGGAAAGGAAATGTCCCAAAGGAAAGCAGAGAAAGCAAGTAGAACCTTAAACTTTCTTTTATGTGTTCTTTTTATTTTTTTTCCCACTTTTTTGTTGTTTTGTTTTGTTTTGGTAATGGGAAAATGCAGTAAAGTCATTTTCACTTGACATAAAAAAATTCAGGTTGTAAAAATAATAAAAGGCTCATTTGCTTACATTATTTTTGCCATCTAAAAATGTTTTATAGTTGCTATAAACTATTTCACAGCTTTCAAAACAGACTAGTAATTACTGGCATATTAATACAAAACCAGCATTTTTTCAATGTTATTTATAAGTTAAGCTTCAGAAAGACATTCAGATTTCTAATCATGGCAGTGTTACAAAAATAATTTATACCCTTTGGAAGTTCTGGCTGAACTTACAGTCCCGGTCAGCTGCCTTTGGACTTTAATGATGACTTCAAGATGATTTAAAGAAGACTCAACTCCTGATGAACCCAGTCTTGCCTTACAAATTACTGCCTTCACAAATTAACCTATTTTCTACTCAGGGGCCTTTATTTGAATTTTACATGAGGGTGCAATCAAATCTATCTCACCACATACATACCAGAACCAACTGCTATCACATGGATGGAAAGACTTGGAGTACTACTGCCTCATAAAGAAGGATAAACTTGAGTCATTTGGAGGGAAATGTATGCAACTTGAGGCCACAATTTTAAGTGAAACAAATCAGACCCACAAGCTTCAATATTATGAGGTTTCTCTTAAATACGAAACCTAAAATAAAAGTAGAGAACAAAATAAAAGGTAATAGGAACCAGGGAGATAGATCTTTTATAAAAGGGAACAAGACCAAGAAATGGAAGGAGGTGGCAAGAAGTCAGGAAATGGGGATGAAAGGAGAATTAAGATGTATTATGCACATGTACCAATTTTCCACAATGAATGTAATCATTCTGTACTGCAAGCATGTATTGATAATAATTTTTAAAGAAAAAGAGGTTTAACAGGTGGAATTTTTATTATATCTTGGCTCTGGTAAGATCTCTCTGGTATCTGGCATTCATATGCTATTTGTCACCATAGTCTTCACATTTCCCAGTGGTAAAAATGAGTCTGTGGATGAATGTGAATCGCTGCAACACCCCCTGATGTTCATTTCCCCCTCACAAGTAGGAGGACAGAAAACAAACAAGAAAAAAAAAAAGAAAGAAGCAAACAATCACCAGGAGAAAGAGTGTTTTTCACTCCCTGCCTTCCTTACAAATTTCTTGCACCACCCCCACAATCTCCTCGGGATGATCCCAGAACCCAGGGACATTTTGCAGAAGTTAGTCCCCAGACATCCACCTGTCCCTGTCTGGGAATCAGACTTAACACAGACCACCCAGGCAGCCTCTTTTTTAGAATGTTTAGCATCAAAGGCAAGCTGGAGACGACCTCTACCACTGGCCCTTGTGGAGGAGGCCCTCTCTGGAAGGCAGCCAGAGAACCCTTAAGGCCATGACTTTTCAGCATTTATATTTGTTTTTTCTACCACGGGAAAAGATTGATGGATTAAGACAAGGATTACATAAATTTTAAAACTTCGATATTGTTCAAATAAAAAAAGCATAAGCATTGAATATCAAAGGGCTTATTTGAATTTAAAAACCCTTTAAAAATCATTGGTAAACTGATTATCCAGTAGAAAAGTGTATTGAAGACATTAATAGATTCCACAAAGGATACAGACGACCAATGAACATATGAAAAGATGTTCAACTTAAAGAAATGCAAATTAAAGCAATTATGCCTTATTATTTTTCAGCTATGAAATTTATCAAAATTTAGGAATTTAATAATATTGTTGATTGGCTTGTGGAGAAATGGACACTCCCACACTATGGAAGCAGAAATTCTGAATCTTATTAAAGTTTATGAGTAAAATCATACGTAATACATTGTTTTGAAGCTTATTTTTACCCACCTAAAATTATCTTACACTGAGCTCAACATGCCAATACATTTAAATTGTTATAGAATATTCCATAGTTCAGTTTAATGCTATTATTAATTTAAATATCTACCTCCCTTAATGAACATGAAATTTTTCTACATATGAGGTCACAACAACAACTTGATACAAACAGCTTTTCCACAAGTAGAAAAAATTTTGTAGGACATCTTATTATAAATAGACTTGTTTGGATAAATGATGAGATTTTACACATTTGATACTGTCAAAAGAAAGATTTTATATAGTTAACCCTAAAGAATTTATATAGTTATAAGACTTTAAATAGTTAATGGATATATCAACAAACTGCCTTCCCCAAAAACTGGGCCAATTTATACTTCCATGAAGCATATTACAAGGCATACTCCTACACAAATCCACACTGTATATTGATAATTAGTACCAATATAAGATCCAAAAGTATATTAGATTGTCTTTTTGTTTACATTTTCCTAAGTATTAACTATATTGACCATCATACCCATTTATTATGTGAGAATTAACTATTAATATTCTTTGAGTATTTTCCTCTCCAGCTGTTTGTTTCACTGATTTGTACTTCCTTGTACATTTTTGTTTATCAGTTGTTTCTTTGTTATACAGGTTGCATATGTAGTCTCCCAAATATATATATATTTAAATACATTGCCAAATCTCAGCAATGTTCATCTAGCAGTACATTACTGCATTACTCTCCAGTTAATTTTTGTACTAGTTTACACTCCCACCAACAGTGAAGAAGGGTTCCTTTCCTGCCCGTACTCTCTCTAGCATTTGTTATTTGATTTCTTGAAGACTGTCATTGTTTCTGGAGTGACATGAAATCTTAGTGTTGTTTTAATTTTTATTTCTCAACTAGTCAGTGATGTTGAACACTTTTATATATTTATTAGCCATTTATTATATTTATTGTATTGTATTTATTGGACAACAGTGCTGTAACTTTCAAATCCAGAGCAAATCAGACAAGGGTTGGCCTTTGGTCAAGAGTCAGGCCTGTCCTTTATCTCAGCCCCTCAGAGGGTCTCTTCCCAACCCACTGTCTGACTGCAGTTATCTCCATGGCTGTCTCTCACACAGTCACTGAGAGAACCTAACACTGAGATTCACAAAGTAAAGCTGTTCTTAAGCTGCTTTGAGTCCTGGGTTGAAACAATCCAACCTCTCCCTGGAATGGCATCTGAACAAGCACCGTCTCTACGGATATGGCAGGTGCTTGGACTTGAGTCACTTACCAGCTGTTGTCTGTTGAAGGATTCCCATGGAAGCAGAATCCTGCAGTGTCCCAGCAGATTATTGCAACTGTTGGCCTGTTCTGTTACTGAATTTCTCTCCAAGGCCCCCTGGAATCCCCAACAAACAGTTTCCTTTTTCCATAAGCTGTCAGCCAGAAGTCTCTTCCTTCCTCACATTGTGTTCTGTCTCTTCAGTATCTCTCTAGCTTTTAATTTCCTGTTACATCCCTCCTGGGAACCAGGATCTACTTCTCTCATTTTTCTTTCCCAAGATATTATTTTGCAGTGTGCAAATTCAAAATCTAGTAGAGGCTGACTTGTCACTCAACACTCCACCAGTTTTTCAGTTCCCGTTTGTACTTCTAATAATTGTCTATCCATTTTAGTTGCCCATTTTTGATTGATTCATTTCATTTGGAGGGTCTGATTTTTGGCGGGGGGGTTCTTTATATATTTAGAGATTAGTCCTTTGAGTAATAGTTGGAAAATACTTTTCCCATTCTGTAGGACATCTATTCACTCTGTTAGTTGTTTGCTTTGCTGTGCAAGTATCACGCTTTTAACTGGTATAGCTTTGCAGCAAGTTCCTGGTTTCTGTAAAGATAACTCTTTTGTTGCTCTATTTTTAAAAATTATTTTTATATGCTTAAGCATTTCAAGTAAAGTTCCAGGTTTCGTTTTCTTCGCTTTTTTTTTTAATTTAAAAGCATTTTTATTTTTTATTTTATGATTATTTTATTTTAATTGACAACTGAACATATTTATGGGGGAACTATGTGATGTTTGATAGATGTATGCATTGTATAATGATCAAATCAGGATAAACAGCATGTTCATCACATTATGCATTTATCAATTCTTTGTTATGAAAACATCAAAAATTCTCTCTTTAGCTATTTGCAGCATACAAGGCATTGCAGTTAGCTAAAGTAACTCTACTGTGCAGGAGAATCAACATTTATTTCTTCTAACTGTGATATTATATCTTTGACAAACCTCTTCTCTTTCCACCTCCCTATTCTCCTCAGCCTCTCATGCTCTCATACTCTAAACTCTTATGTGATCAACTTTTTTAGATTCCATATGTGAGATCATGTGGTATTTGTTTGTTCTATGCCTGGCTTATTTCACTTAAAATAATGTCCTCCAGGCTCATTCATATTTTTACAAAATGACAAATTTTCACCTATCGCTGAATAATTGTCAACTATGTGTATACACCCGGTTTTCTTTAACAATATACCCGCTGATAGGCCTTTAGGGTGATTCTACATCTTGGCTATTATGAATAGTACTTCAGTGAATGTGGGAGTGTAGATAGTTCTTTGAGATACCTTACTCCCTTTACTCCTCCAAAAACTTAGGAATCAACCTAACTAAGAATGTAAAAGACCTATATGCTGAAAATTATGCTATGTTAAAAAGGA